CCCACACCGCCCAACTTCGCCATACGCGCCCTTATCCCCTCTTTCCGTTTTGCTTCTTCCTGCCTCGCATGTTCTTCTTCGTCGAGTTTGGTGTTTTCTTCTGCGGAAAGCTCAGAGGGTTCTTCAGCGACGGGAGATTCTTCTTCAGCGGCGGGAGATTCTTCTGCAGAAATAGGTTCTGGCTCGGCGGCTGATTCTGCGAGCGAGATAGATCCTGACTCGTCGGCAGGCTCTTCCTCATGTTGAGCGTCGGGAACAGACGAGGGCTCGTCTGCAGCAATGAACGCAGGCAGAGGCGTCGCAGCTTCATCTCTACGTCCACCCCCAGCCTCTTGACCTACCTCGTCCTCGACCTTCGCAGCCTCTGCCTCTTGCTCGACCTCTACGGCCTCTTGCTCCACAGCTTCACCTCTCGAAGTTGGCACTGGCGCAGAAGGAGCAGCCTCTTTCGCAGCAGAACCAGGACCAGGACCAGGACTTGGCGTATGATCAATACTCGCCCTCACACGGTGGTACACCTCTGGGTCGATCGGGTCTGGTAGAAAGAGGGATCGTCAGTGTTGTCCCAAGAGGCGAAGAAGGAGAAAAGAGTAGGCAAGAGATGGAAGAGAGTAAGCAAAGGGGAGGCAAAGGAGGAGGCACAAGAAACGAAGACGCAAAAGAAGCACAAAACCACGACGCAAATACACACGCAAAACGAAAGGAAGAAAGAAGAGGGAAAAGAAAGAAACAAGCGAGAAAAGAAAAGCACGAAAAAAAAAACAAGAAAAGAAACAAGAAGAAAAAACACGCACCACCCTCCTCCTCACCAAGAATCTCCGCTCTCTTCTCTTCTTCCTCTTTCTCTTCGCCACCCCTCTTCTTCTCCCTCTCCCTCTCATCCCCAATATCTTTGGCAGGCGCCCCCGCAGCATTCGTCTGCGCTGCCGTAGGCGCCTGGCTCGCCGTAGCTGGCGGAGTAGGCGAAGCAGCAGCAGGCGGAGCAGGCAACGCACCCCTCGGCGCAGGCGGAGGCGGCATCTGCATGCTCGCTCGCTTACTGTTTCGCTTCTGCACATCCACACTACTCCTCGATCGGCTTTCGCTGCGTCTGGGCGCAACGTCCGATGATGATGTGAAGGACGAAGGCGGCGCATCAGAAGGCGGTGTGAACGACGAAGGCGGAGGCGCTGGCGTATCTGAAAGAGGTGCTGAATCCTTTCTTCTCGGCGGAGGCGGCGGTGGTGCTTCTTCTGCCTCGAACGCAGCTGGCCTTGGTGCGGAAGCTGGCGCTGGCTCCGCTGCAGTCGTCTCTTCCAGAGGCTCTTGCTCTGGCGCTGCCGGTAAAGTCTCCTTCCTCCTCGGCGGAGGAACAGGCGCTGCCACTTCTTCCTCCCCCTTCGCTGCGTCCGTCGCAGGCTCAACCCCCCGCCTAGGCCCCGAAAACCCTCTCCTCGGCCTGTCTTCTTGCTCTTCTCCCCGCAGCTCTTCTTGCTCTTCTTCTTTCTCCTGCCCCACGTCATGTCCTTGCCCTTCGTCCGTCGCCTCCTCACCCAGCCCACCAGCATAAGACTCCTCCGCAGCACCAGCATAAGAATCCTCCGTAGGCGTCTCATCCCCAGCTCCACTACTGCTACTCGCAGTAACAGCACTCGGCGGAGGCGCCCTCACACCCTCTCCTTGTGGTATGGACGAGGGAACGTGCAGCTGCAAGGATGCACGTTTACTCGGGACGTCGAGGGATGTGCGCTTGTCGAGAGAAGTACGTTTGGCTGGTACATCGACAGAGGAGCGGGGAGTTGGCGTAGACCTGCCTGGACGTGTGCTCGCAGCTGAGGAAGGCGTAGCGGAGACCTATATACGCAGGCTGGTCAGCTTAGTGTTCAGACGTGAAACCAGGGAAGCAGAGTGGACGCGAACGCAAAGAGCGCAGCAAAAACCAAAGACGCTCGCTCGGCACAGAAAACAAGACCTCACGCACCTTCGGAGGCGGAACAGGAACAGCAGGACTTTCTTCCTCCTTCTCCTTCTCTTTCTCTTTCTCCTCTGCACCTTCGCTATTCTCACTCTCACTACGTCCCTCAGCCACATCACCCTCAGTCACGTCTCCCTCCTCACGCTCGCTACGCTCAGGCGGCACCGGACTCGTCGGACTCACCATCTCAATCCAGCTCCTCCTCTTATCCTTTCTGCTCGTCGCAGCCTCAGGAGACAGCGTCAGGGATTTCCTGCGGTCCTGCTCTGGTTCTTCCACTGATACGCGCGGGGGAGGAACGTCGGAGGTAGCAGCGGAATCGGATACAGCAGATTCAAGCTTGTAGTATTCAGATTCGCTCGTACCTTCACAAAAAAAAACAACATGTTATCATTCACATTCCATAATACATCAAAGAGAAAAGTTTTAATTACCATCGTCCTTTTCTTCGCGCTTCTTCTCCTGCTCCTTCGCACCGCGCTCAACCTCATCCTCCACAGGCTGCTTAACCCCCACATCACCCTGCTCCTCCTCTCCTCCCCTTTCCTCGCTCTCCTTTTCCTTCTTCGCTTTCTTCATCGCCTCATCAACCTTATCCACCCGCCCACCCTGCCCCTCCTCATCCTCATACACGCCCACATCACTCCCCTCTTCCTCCCCTCCTCCATCCTCCCCAACAACCTCCGTACTCCCCTTCATCTCACTCTGCAAGCTCTCCTTTTCCTTCTCCAACTCCTCTTTCACATCAATTACCCGCTCCTCCGCCTCCGTTTCTTCGCCCTGCTCTCTAGGCGGCGGATGCGACCCAGGCACAGGAGGAGCGGTATACGCCGGAACCACAGGCGGCCGGAACACACCAGGCGGGGGTGGACTGCCTCCCATATCAGACAGCGCTGGGATCACGGATGGACGGCGGGAGGGAGGGGAGTCTCCGGATGGCTTGACGGCGCCTTCAGCAGGCTTGATGGTCTCGGAAGACGAAATGGGTGCGATGGACTCGTCGGTGAGCTTAGCGGGCTCCTCATGCGTAGCGGACTCTTCGTGCGTAGCGAGATCTTCGTGCTCAACAAGCTCCTCGCGCCCGACACCTTCACCAGACGCGCCCTCCCCAGACGCCGTAATATCCACACTCTTCCTCTCCTCCTCCTCCTTCCTCTCCACTCCCTTCTCGACTACCTGCTCCTTCTCCTCTTGAACAGCCACCGCCGGACTCTTCGCCTTCCTCCTCGGCGGAGCAGCTCGCCTCGGAACAGCAGGAACAGGCATCGCCGGAACCCCATGTCCTCCTTCAAACACCCCATCAACACCCGCTTTTACTCGAAAGAACCGGAAAGAAAACACACCTTCATCCTTCTCCTTCTCTTCCTCCTCCGCCTTCACCTGCTCCTCCTCCTTCGCAGGAGGCGTCCCCTTCCTCCCAAACACAGGCGGACCCATACCCACACGCGCACCCCCCAACCGCGCCATCCGCGCTGCAATCGCCGCTCGTCGCTGTCTCTCCTCTTCCTCCGCGTCTCCCCCTCCTTCTTCCTCATCGTTGGGCTTGGAAGGTTCTTCTTCGCGGGGTGTGATTCCTTCGCCCGCCTTCTCCTCTCCCGCCTTATCTTCACCCGCGGGCTTATCTTCGACTCCCTTCGGCTTAGGCGCCCCAAACACCCCTGCCAGCCCCAACCCAGGTCCCTCGCCTTCACCCTCGACTTTCGGCGGAGGCTTCCACCGCGGCTTATCCGATGCAGGAGGAGCAGGCGGCGTGGAAGGCGCAGGCGCACCGAAGGCTCCCGCGCCTTTCAATGCCGCCATGCGTTCTTTCAGGGAGAGTACAGGGGCGGCTGGGGAGGGATGTGTGTTAGCGATACGGGGAACGAGAGAAAAGAGCGAAGCGGGAAAGTAAGGGGAACAAGCGAAGCGAGAAAGTAAGAAAAGGAAAGGTGGGGCAAGCAAGGAGTATAGAGCAAAGCGCGGAACAAGTAGTCAACGCATACGAAGTCGCCGCATTCAACGCAAAAGAAAAAAACCACACACCATCCTCCCCATCCTCCCCCTGCGTCCCTCCTCCCGCGTTACTATTATTGTTGCTGGGGTGCTCGCCACTCCCACCCGTAAGATCAATCGGCTTCCTCGTCGTTTCCGCCGCTGTGCTAGACACAGGTGGTTTCCAGGATACTTTGCCTCGCGGGGCAGGCGGTTCGGAGGGGGTGTCTGTGGGGTGGGTGTTAGTTATGCGTTCAAAGCTCAGATGTTATAGAGATGTAAGGGTAGGGCGATACAGGCTGAGCGCAGAACGCGATGCGCTGAGATACGGAGAGCAGAGAAGGGAGGGAGATGGTGGGGACAGGACGCATAGCATAATCACATATCGAGGCAGAACCAAACTCACCTCCTCCACCCGTCGCACTAGCACTCGCCGAAGTAGGAGGCTTCCAAGACACCTTCCCCCTCGGCACAGGCGCAGCAGCCTCCTTCTTCTCCTCAGGCTTGCTCTCGAACGCAGCGATCCGGTCACGCAGGGATCCTATTTTGCGCGGGGCGCCGTCTGACATCGCTATAGTAGCAGAGAGTTATGCGGTGGGCGTGTGGGATGAGTTACGCGTATGCTATGTGCTGAGCGTGTAATTGGTCGCTGTGATGAGCGTGCGTGTGCGATGGTCGAAGCGTTGGCGTGCCGCGTCGTCGTCGTCGTGGGTTCTTGTAGCTGGCTCTGCAGACCGTGCTTAGCACAACGCTTGACCGCACAACGCCTTGCTACACACCTTAACGCGTTACCCTTCCTAATCGTCCTAATCCTTCCAATCGCGTCGTCTGGGTTTCGATGCCAGCCGATATCGCGTCTGCCAGCGTCCTCGCTTCAGGTTTGCAAAGTGTGTATATCCGGGTCGTGATGATGGTCCAGGATCAGCAGCCTGCGTACGCAATCGCCCAACACTGCATCCGCTCACGTCACACCAGTGCCCACACCAGTGCCCACGTGCAGGCGGCTGCCCCCGGCAAAATGAGTCCACCCGCCTGCCCCCAAAAGTATACTAAAAAAGGAGGGCAGCAGCGGCATGGCAACTTGGCCGAGCGGTCTAAGGCGCCAGAATCAGGATCCCACTATCTGGTCCTCCGGGGCGTGAGTTCGAATCTCACAGTTGTCATTGAGGGAATGGGATCACGAGTTTTTTCCTGCGTTGGGCGGACTTTTTTCCTGCGTTGGGCGGACTTTTGTGTGAGGCTGCAGTAGGGTGGCGGACCTATGCTCCCCGGGGGGTACAGTACCGGTACCGTACCTATGCCCAATTCAGGGGGGGTGTACCGTACCGTACTGTACCGGCACGTGATGGAACCATGTGACCTGCGCCACACCCCGCGTTTTGCTTGTTTTTCGGGCTGTTTCCCGGGATTTCGTGTTTTTGCGTGCATATTACACTACCAAGGGTATAATAGGATACTACCAAGGGTATAATAGGATACTACCAAGGGTATAATAGGACACGATTCAACGCTAATGGGCCCCAGAGTAGCAGGTTTTGACCCCACAATGGCTCTGGATTTAGACACCTTTTGGAGCAGCCTCACAATGGCCCAATGACTTTCAATCTACTGTAAAAGTCCTTCTTTAGCACCATTTAGCTACAAATTAACTTTCCAGCTCTTGGGAACCCCAACGAGAGCCATGCCACTCCCCGCCCCCACAATGTCGTTGTGTGCCCCGCCGCCCGCCCCGCGCCGTGATCCGAAGCCCGCACGTGAACACATCATGTGATAGGTACTGTACCTACCCTCCCGGCGGGGGGTGTACAGTACATGGTACGGTACCGGTACTTATGCTAGGTACCCATGTTTTGGGGGTTAGGTCCGCCACCCTAGTGCCAGCAGACTATCCGTAGTTCTGTATATCAATTTTTAAAGCAGTCTCTCGGGTTTCTGTATATTGATCTACGGAATGAACGAGATTCTATTGTTGTTTTGAGTGTACCAGTATATATGATTTGTGTACCAGTATGTATGCTTTGTGTACCAGTATATATGCTTTGTGTACCAGTAGCAGCTGTATCTACGCCAGGTCGTTGGATCATACATTCCATTGACATGCACGACACATAACGTTCATACTACATAACCTTCCTTGTGCAGTGACATTCAGATGTCTTGTGACCACACACACACAGTGAGAACGAGCATTGAGCGCTACCTTCATCCTAATGCGACTGTGTCTCGAGCACTTCCTCATACTAACACGCTCGAGGACTTCCTCACGCTCGAGCACTTCCTCATAACTTAAGCAGTGAGCACAGCTAATGTGATCATTTTCTCTCAATGTTATTATTCTCCTTCAAGAATCATCCACATTCTTTCCGCGCGGGAGCCCTGGCAGCACTCCGCCCTCTGGAAAGTCATTTGCCCTCTGGGAAGTTATTCGCCCTTTGGGAAGTTATTCGCCCTCTGGGAAGTTCGCCCTCTGGGAAGTCATTGGTCCCCCCCTCTGGGAAGTAGGAAGTCATCCGCCCTCTGGGAAGTGGGAAGTCATTAATCATTTATCGTGGGGTTGGTATCGTGGATCCTGGAAACTACCCGAAAAAATTGAATGTGTTCGTACGAGGGGTCTGATAAAATTGATATTGAACATCCATGATTATGATGTCGAGCGCCGCGGAACCACAGGCTCAGTTGTACTGCGCGGCTACTAGAGAAAACTTGTTATGTAGTAGCCTCATTCCCGGCGGGACATGAGAACCCCCGGCGGTCCCGCTCACTGGATTGTTTAGCGTACAAACTTCCAAATAATGTGTGCGGGTGCATGAATAGTGCTCGAGCGGACTCATCCACATAAAGACAAGTTCTCCTCGGTAAAGTCGCACTGCGCGGCTAGAGAAGACTTCAATTCATTCTACAATGCTTGCTCCAGGACTTGAGCCGGCGGGCCGGCGGCATCGTGCTCCTCGAATTCACTTCCTCGTCCTTCTCTTCTCTTCTCTTCTCACGAGCCCTCGTGGCGGGGACGGCTAGGAGGAAGTCGGAGGGCTCGCGTGTAGATCTGCGCGAAGCACTGGTACCCAGGTTGAACATAGTAAGCTTCAATGCATAGAGAACAAGCTAAACTCATCGAATATGTATACATAGTGCATGCCACCACGGTGCACGGTATACCGTATTGTACATGGGCTGTTTGTACTAATGAAACCCACTCGTAGACGCACTGAATACATACACAGAACAGAACAGGTTAAGTAGATATAAACGAAGCATAATGCATAAATATGTATGTATGTATACATTGAATTGGGTACACGGTATATGGTGGGAAATCATGAGTAACCCATTCGCCTCTCGAACTCTCTACACATCAAACAGCTTCTTCTTCTTTCCCGCCGCTGCACCTGCTCCGACGGCTCTTCCTCCCCCAGCACCAAAATCCACTCCTCCTCCCGCCCTTCCTACCCCTGCACCCATACTCACAGCAGCAGAATTCACCCTGCCTGAATCCATATTAACACTCGCCGCCCCACCGCCCCGCCCAGGATCCACCGCCCTCATCACACACGTCTCCTCCCCACTCGTCGTGATCACCACGAAACTGCGCACCTTCGCCGCACCGTCAAACTCGAGGTAGGCGGTCCAGTGTTCTGTCCAGGACTGCCGGGAGGTGCGCCATGTCCAGCGGGTTGTGCCCAGGATCGTGACTCTGCCCGCCGCCGCCGAGCCTCTCCCAGCAGCAGATGATGCGCCTTCTCTTCCTCTTCCAGCCCCAGCAGCAGATGATGCGCCTCCCGCCGCTGCAGTAGTAGCAGCACCGCCCGCTGCTGCAGATGGTGCGCCTGCCGTAGCCTCAACGACCCTCCACTCCCTCTGCGCCTCATAATGCGTCTTCAGGAGATCAAAATAGGACCGGACGGCGTGCAGCCCTGTGAAGCGGTACGTCCCTGGTGAGGCGCACGTCGAGAAGGAGTGTTCGAGGACGACGGGGGGGCTGCTTCCCTGCATCATGCCGCCAAGTTCTACTCCGCCAAAACTTGGGGCAGCGCCGCCCATGCTTGCTCCTTGGGGTACGTATGAGCTGCCGCCTTGGGGTACGTATGAGCCGCCTCCGCCGCCGCCGCCTGAGTTGCCGTAGTGCGATGTCACTGTAGGCAAGGGGGGCTGGGAGAAGTGCGTGAGGAGGGAAGAAGACGGCGCGCAGGACGCGATGTCGTAGAACAGCTTTTCGGCGCTGAGCGTGAGCTGGGCGGCGGACGGAGGGTGCGGGGTTGGGCTTAGCATCTCTCGGGGTTGGGGTGTGTGAGCTGGGAATGTAGATGCTGGGAGTTGGGAGATGGGGAAAAGTGTAGGGTATGCTGAGGTATGTGCTGGAAGGGTGTAGGTTGTAGTTAGCGTAGCAGATAGATGTCCGAAACCAGCCCCCACGGTCGTTGGTCGTGTAAGTGTAGTCCCGAGTGCAAAAAAATCCTGTCCTGTCGTAGAGGCCGCGTAAAACGATCCACAAAGGCCGCCCGGCGTAAAACGAATCCACGAAGCCGCCGCGTAGACACCTGTTTCCCAAAATACCAACGCCGCCGCCGCGTACTTACTAGGTCGAGGTAAGGTGTGTGTGCGTTGCGCCAAGCCGTGCGCTCTTTCGAACTACCACCTAGTTCGCAAGGACGCCCAGAAGATGCACGCAAAGGGAAAGATGATGGGGAAAAGGGAAAGAGTAAGAGCGCTCACAATCTTCTTCTTCTTATAATAGGCGACGTAAGTAGTTCATTTGGACTCGGGACCCCATTCATTATCATATCACCGCGTCGAGGCCATTCAATCTTACCGCGCCTCGGTTTCTCACAAGTTGAGTAGTACTCTGCACCGCCGCTTGCTGTGAAAGAACGTAGCTTGCGGTTGGAAGAGCCGTTAGTATCCGAGCTGCCTCTAAGTCCTAAGTCGGCCTGACACATTGAACGCTTTCGGTCGACAAGTATTCGGTCGAGGGTGGATAATATCACCGAGCCCGAGCCCCACGTGTTGTTCGTTCTACACATGCATGCTGGATAGATATGAGATGGCCCTGTGGATCCCTCCCCGAGCCCCCGAGGTTGCTGCTTGCAAGAGGATGCGAGTGTAGAGGAAGGATTGCAGAGAAAGGATGGTGTAAGTGTAGCGTGAGTAACTCGACGCGATTTGAGAGAATTAAAAGGCGTGAACTCGAGATTACCGATTCTGAGTTTAGTATCGACAGTGAGATATTTATGTAAAGTAATGAACTCGACGAGTCTTGAGATTTCTGTGTCCGTGGCTAAACCGGAAAGGTGGCTCCCGAGAAACTCACGAGTCGGACTGTAGTACAGTACGTACTATTGTCAGCTGGATTAAGTTCGTACGAGGCTAGTAAATAAACCATGGACCCGCTTGGGAACCGCCGGGCGTTCTCGTATCCCGCCGGGAAAGAACTAGTACTTCTACGGATGGTCCGGATTCTTGAGCCCGTCGCACATGAGTACGTAATACGTATAAGGGAAAGAAAAAGACAATCTAACGCGTGAGAAACCAGCGAAGTCGGTCGAGAGAATATCATTGTTTCGCGTTAGTACTTTCCTGCGTCGCGAAGGGCTGGGTATGTACTATGTAAGCCCTGCCGGTGATGTTTGGCTCGCCGGGGAGAGTCAAAGTAGTAAGTACGGTTGTTTGACAAAAGTGCCTTCAATGTTATGCAAAGTATTCGAGTGCCTCGCAAGAACACGTTCCGACAGTGTAGCACTTGAGTATGACCCAGTCGCAGTGTGGGATCCGCAGCGCAGGACAGTGACTAGTTGATGGCCAATGCACGAGCGCGAGAGAGGAGAGGACGGGGAATGTACTATGGTAGTGGGATGGAATGCATGGTAGTGGGATGGAATGCATGGTATTAGTGTGCGTGTGAGTGTCGTCGCTCTGAAGGATACATGAGATTCGAAGATGCTCGTTCGCTTTGAGAAATGAAAAATGAAGGGCTGTGAAGTGCACTTAAGGGGACATGATCACTTGCTCATACTGTATCGTACAGTTTGTCTGTCTCTGTCTAGATCGCGATATTGAGCTAGTTGTGTGCAGTCGAAATTCAGGTGTGATACGATACATACCTCGCAAACGACCTGTAAAGATACGTCGAAAGCGAACATGCGTCGAAAAACAAAGGTGCGTATACATA